TATTCGGTAATCATAATGTTTTTTCGTCAAAATATTGGCTCAGTGATCGTCATTTACCTCTGTAATAGTCATTCGTCCGAAACACGTATGAGCAACCCCAACGACCCTGAGTGGCCCCCCACACCATCCCACACCATTCACAGTCAGTCTGCCATTGTTTATCAGCGAGTGACCATCACTCCATGCATTCATACGATACATTTCGTAATATTCCATTCTTTTGTGCTTGCAACTGCTAAATGAACCACCATGGGCCCAAAGAAAGCTTCTAGTGCCAGCCCTTTGGTAAAGAAGGTGAGAAACACTATAGAATTTCAAGAAAGACATCGTTGTAAATTATGAAAGTGGAGTACGTGTAGCAGAGCTTGCCAGGTTGTATAAGAAACCCCATACAACCATCACTTCCATCCTGGCAAAGGAAAAGGAAATCAAGGAAGCTGTTGTTGCGAAAGGTGCAAATATGCTTGCAAAACAGAGATCACAAATACTCGAAGATGTGGAGACTTGGTTGTTGGTATGAATCAACCAAAAACAGTTACCAGGAGATAGTGTTATGCAGTCGATAATTTGTGAACAGGCAAGGCAGTTGCATGATGATCTTGTAAAGAAAATGCCTGGAACTAATGCTGATGTTAGTGAATTTAAGGCCAGCAAAGGCTGTTTTGAGAGATTTAAGAAGTGTAGTGGCATACACAGTGTGGCAAGGCATGGCAAGGCTGCAAGTTCTGACAAATATGCGGCTGAAAAATATGTTCAGGCTGAACAATTCAAACCCCAACAAGTGTTCGTGAAAAAACAGGCCTCTTTTGGAAGAAAATGCCAAAGAGGACCTACATCACGCAAGAGGAAAAGGCACTCCCAGGACACAAGCCTATGAAAGACAGGTTAACTCTCATGTTCTATAGTAATGCTAGTGGGGATTTCAAAGTGAAGACTTTACTGGTGTATCACTCTGAAAATCCCAGTGTTCAAGAAAAACAGTGTCACCAAGAGTAAATTGTGTGCCATGTGGAAGGCAAACAGTAAGGCATGGGTCACGAGGGAAATTTTCCTTGATTGGTTCAGTGAAGTGTTTGGCCCGAGTGTGAAGAAATACCTCCTGGAAAATAAATTGGAACTCAAGTGCCTCCTGGTAATGGACAATGCTCCTGCTCATCCTCCAGACTTGGATGGCCAAATTGTGGAGGAGTTTAGTTTCATCACAGTTTAGTTCTTGGCCCCTAATACCACTCCTCTCATCCAGCCCATGGACCAGCAGATCATTTCAAACTTCAAAAAACTCTACACCAAAGCAATGTTTCAAAGGTGCTTTGACATAACCTTGAACACTGAATTGACCCTAGGAGAGTTCTGGAAAGATCACTTCAGTATCCTCCATTTCATAAACCTTATAGATAAGGCTTGAGAGGGAGTGACTTCCAGGACTTCGAACTCTGCTTGGAGAAAATTGCGGCCAGAATGTGTCCAAGAGAGGGATTTTGAAGGGTTTGGGGCTGACCCTGACGAGTCTATGGCAGTTGTGGAAAGTATTGTGGCATTGGGGAATTCCATGGGGTTGGATGTGAGTGGCGAGGATGTGGAGGACCACAGTGAAGAGCTAACCACTGAAGAGCTGTAAGGCCTTCATCTGCAACAGCAACAGACCACAGCTCAGGAAATTGCTTCAGAGAAGGAGGAAGAGAGATGGAAGGTGCCTTCTTCAAAGATTAAGGACATTTGTGCAAAGTGGAGTGAGGTGCAAACATTTTTGGATGAACATCACCCTGACAAAGCTGTTGCAGGCCGTGTTGGCAACATGTACAATGACAGTGTCGTGTCCCATTGTAGGGAAATTTTAATTAAAGAAACATCAGAAACAGAGCTCTCTGGAACAATTTTTTGAGCAAATGGGGTCCAGTGACTCTCAAGCTGGTCCTAGTGGCATTAAAAAACAAAGAAGGGAAGTAACCCCAGAAAGGACTTGGTACCTGAAGTCTTTATGGAAGGGGATTCCCCTTCAAAACAATGGTAACTCCTCCATCCTCTCCCCTCCTCCCATCTTTCATACATCAACAAGTCTTCAATAAAGGTAAGTGTCATGTTATTATTGTTTTATTCTTCATGTCTCATTGTTTTTCTGTGTTGGTAAATGTATATTTCATGTTAAAAAAAAAGCATTTTTTTTTTTAATACTTTTGGGTATCTGGAACAGATTAATTGGATTTACATTATTTCTTATGGGGGAAAATGAATTTGGATATCGTCAGATTTGGCTTTAGTCACACTCTCTAGAACGGATTATGATAACTGGGGTCCACTGTAAATTATTTCGTAAGGGAAATATTACTTCAGTTTTCGAACAAGTCGGTTTTCAGTCAACCTTCTGGAACGGATTAAAGACGAAAACCAGGGTTCCACTGTATACGATTGTAAATGCAAACACTAAACCATAAAATGTCTGGAGCCAGTTGCATGTTTTTGACTACCAACCAGGGAAGTGACCCTTTTTTTACCAAAACTAAAAAGTGGGCAGAATAATCAAGATTCTGTACAAGAGAAAATCGATGAACAGTCAATTGTGGCTTCTGAATTTAATCAGACATAACTTTTAGCCACATGATACTCATGATTACAGATATTTATCATCACTCACAGTAGAATATACTATAAAGTTGAACCCCAGAATTCACTTGCATTGATTACCCAACATTTTTTTACTGAAGTTTCCAATGAAGAGCTTTAATTATTCACTTTTATTTGAAGGGTTATTGTACTGTAACTGATGTAAGACACATTAAAGCCTACCATAGGATTTCATTCAAAATGTGCTTACTGGATTTTCCATGCCTAAATCTCTCTTCCTTCTGGAATTTTTCTTTTACAAATTTTAATATTAATGAAGTCAAAGCAAAATTAGAGATATGGCCTCAAAAATACAAAATTGCCAAAGTTTGAAACAAAATTTATAGTAGACAGAATTCAGTGGTTTTTCACCAGTTCTGAATTCACGGGACCCACCTAGAAACATAACCTCTGCAAATTTGGGGGTTTGATTATACGTACATTGTTAATTATACAAGACACAAATACATACTATTTCTCTACATTAGTACAGTACCATATATTACACCATTTTCTACAAGATAAACTACTATAAACAAAACTAAGCTATCTATAGGTTTTAGCACTTCGGGAAACTCCCACTTTTAAGTTGCTACATATAGTGAAGATACATTAATGTATGAAACATTTGGTCACAAATAACAATTGTTCTACCCTAAGATACTTCCAAGTAAGTACAAGAAGTGTAAAAATTTGAAGTAAAATGTTTTGCTCAGGGATAAATGTTATTTGACTGTATATACTGTACCAGCATGTAATATATTGCAAATGAACAATTCAATTTTAGATAAAGCATTCTTAAAGACATACAGTAAATGATCCATTCAAGTGGGTGCCTTGATACTACTGAAAGGTCTTGATTTGAGGAACTGAAGCCAAATCTCCCTTGGATCAAACCAGATTTTGCCCTACTCCTCAGGTGCTGTGTGACTTCTACAGACTGACATTAAATAATACAATATAGCAAAGCTATGATGTTAAGCTAATAGTAAAATAACTAGTTTTTAGCTGGTAATTTCACAGTAAAGATCTTCACTGAAAGAATTGGAACAATGTAAAATAAATGATATTTTTACCTCATTGAGAATATACACATGTTTAAAAAGATACCTTATTACATTTAGTTCCTGGATGAAAGAAACCTTAATGGGAAGGAAACATACCAAAATATGAGCAAATATCTAGTTATCTCATAATGTGAATGTGCAAAGTGAACAAATTATTTATTTTGCCACAGAAGCATATCTCAGGTGGAATTTTTGCCAACTTATTTTTTTTGGCTAACCTTAAGAACTTCAACAAATTCTAGTCTCCAGATGTGTATGACCTCTACAAGTTCAGTGCTCCTCATGAATATGCATGAACAAGTCTGGAGGTTTAAGTACTGCATTACAGTACTCTGTATGCTTTGTCTGGGAAAATATTATTTAAATTTGTATGTGTGGCCATTTTTTTTTTTTTTCAACAAACCTGCCTTATCCCACCAAGGCAGGATGACCCAAAAAGAAAAACGAAAGTTTCTCTTTTTAAATTTAGTAATTTATACAGGAGAAGGGGTTACTCACCCCTTGCTCCTGGCATGTGTGGCCATGTATATATGTATTCTATCTTTCTCTAGTTAGAATGCTAAGAAGTTCACCAGTTATATACTGTAGAAAGGTTTTTCACCCAAAAAATAATGTTCAGTCTCAATATATATACATACAAGAATGATACAGTACTTGAAATATTTATAAATTCCACCCTGTGAGAATAGGTCAAGAAACAATAATCACTGAACATTCTTTGTACACTGTTACCAGTAAAATAACATCAGTAAATTTTAAGAGATAACATACATTACAGCACTAGTAAAGATTATCAGCAAGAGGAACATACTTTGGGGACTGAGAGGTATTATAATCTTAATCCTGAGTCTGTGAAGTAAGGGTAAAAAAAAAAATCACAAAACCATAGCTAGAACAATTCCCTGCTACTCACAAACTGGAAATAAAAACTGGACCATTATGTGAATTTGACACTGATCCAAACTGGACTGAAATATTCTTCAGTTTTCATTTCCAATTTGTGAGTTCACTGTACAGTGACAGGAAGTCAGTATTAATGAGGTGGCCTTCCATTAACTGTAAACAGAATTAGTACTGCAAGTTACCCTCTGACTGAATTGGTTATCTTGCAAGCTGTCAGAGTTTGACAGAAATGCAAAAACTAGTGGAAAGCATGTTTTGCAGCTTATTGTTAGTTTAATATCTTTATTATGCACCCCATACCCATCCTGTGGGCAGCAGTCAAAAGAGTAAAGAGATACATAATTGATCCAGGAACTGGGCCACAAAGTTTTGATAGCTGAACAAGTTTCAGCTTGCTGGAATATTTAACCCTTAAACTGTCCAAACGCAGATCTACGTTCATGCACATAGCACTCCAACCTCGATTTTCTCCATTTGAAAGCATGTAAAAAAATGTAGATCTACGTTCGGAGCACTACGCAAGCGAACACAGATCTACGTTTGGACAATTTAAGGGTTAATACAATAATTAATGAGCATTCAACTTAACTAACAAATTAATCCAAAATTAGAATCCATTTCTTCACTAAGCTTATTTAATAGGTAGGTAGACAACAAAGTGAATACACTAATTATGGATTTTAGTTCTGTATTACCCATGAAGTTTAGCAAAAAACAGTTGTGAATGCAGTACAGTACATTAATATATGTACTATTATGGTTTTGGCATTTATTGCTTCCCATGAATATGCAGTAATAGTAATATGGGTTTCTGTATCATTTACAATTCTTAATTGAAAGAAGACATAAGATGACAATGAAAGCTGAATCAGTTCAAGAATTATACTACAGTACTGTATATACAAAATAATACACTGCCAGGCTCTCGGCAGTTTTTTTTACGGAACTCCTTAGTGCTGTATGCCCACACAGTTTTAGCGTTTTTCAATATAATACAAAGCTCTGCACTCAGAATTTTAATTGTGAATGGAGTGAAGATAATGGACTGTTGAATACACTACATGAATCTACATACAGGTAGTACTGTAGGACCCTTTCAAGTTTAGTGCTTAACTAGATTAATAATAATATATGCCCGCAGTACTATAACATACAGCATTCACAATACATACTCCCTAATGTCCCTTGAGAAAAATTTTATTACAAAAATTTCAGGTTCACTGACAACAGTTTTATGATGATTTTGTTTACATTTAAATCTTTGCACATTAAATTTTACTAACAAAATATAAATGTGTATGTATATATACACATACATTCGTTTCCAAATTTTTTGCATACAAGGCCTTCAATATCCTTAGGTTGCTATTTAATTACATGTACCTCTAATTACTTACACAACATATGTGCCAGCTAGTTTGTGAATAAAGACTTCAATTAAATTATGAGTTATAAAATCATATTAACACAATTGCACACAAGCTACAGTATGCGTGGGGTTTGAACAGAGTGGCTTATGTACTGGCCTGAAGTTTTACGACTCACTCGCCATAAGTTCGAACCCCACCTGTACCGTGGTTTTTTTAAGTTATGACGAATAGAATAGTAATAATTAGTTTTCTAGTAAAATATATAGTAATACAATAGTTCCCCCTGTATCAGAGGGTGATACATTCCAAGATAACAGCGAACTCTATACTATATAAGCTGTTTTTCGTTTACATACATACCTATGATAAAGTTTAATTGGTAAATTATGCACAATAAGACATTATGACGTTGATGGTTGGGGACTGTCGATAGTGGACATGGTTTATTTTTCAACCTTTTGGAAAAACATCATGATAGGAAGTTGTTGTTTCTTTCTCTTCAGCTCATCAAACATTTGCTGGAGAGGTTCTAATACTTCAGTGATTATATGGGTGGCTTTAATGCTGTGTTCTATCATGGGATTGTAATCCATGATTTTTTTCCTTTAAAGTCTATGCAATCCAAAACACTTGCTAAATTTTTCCAATATCTCCAAAACACTTTGCTAAATTTTTTCAATGTCCACACTGCTGGTTCTGTTTCAGTTTCTTCTTCCTCTGCTAATGACTTGACAAGTTCTTCTAATTCCTCATTCTTCAATACTTCTATATGTTCTTCAATAAGTTCTTCCACTTTTTTATCAGTGGATGCAGCCTCTGCAGTATCTTTTATATTTTTCAAATTATGCCTATTACTGAATCTATACAACCATCCCTTACTTGCTGTAAATGGCTTCGTGTCCTCTTCAGTGGAGTCTTTCTTAAAGTCTTCGTACAGGCTAAAGGCCTTTTGCCATGACACGTAACCGTCAATAGGCACGTTTCCTGTTCATATCTTTAACCCACAAATTTAATGGTTTCCTAGCAAAATACTGCTCATAAGAATTTATTTGTATAATCAAAAGTGTAATTTTGTGATTTATATTGATTATTTACTGCATAATGTGAATAATGATGCAGTAATATGTAAAAAATATAGCACATTAATGAATGTTAATAATCTACTTGGATAAATGTTTAGAAAATATAAGCAGTGGGAAAAAATCTTAAGGGGTCAAAATTTTGGAGAAAATTTTTTTACAAAAATTAAGACAGAAGACAAGGTTGACTAAATGTTCATTATGCCAAGTAGCCAAAAGTATCCTTTGAATATATATGACTAGCTGAGGACACTATGGCACCAAAGAAATGCTTTGCATTTGCAGCCCAAAATACGGTAACCAGGTTTTGTCATATGGCTCATCTGGACATGACTGTTGTTTGTTAAAACATATACATACATGTTTTGCAATGTGGGAAAGCCATATTTTTCTTAATTTATAGGTGCTTTATAACCCTTATAAGGTTTATGTTCCCCATGAATATATCAATACTAATATTTTGTTAACTTATTTAGAGGATGCCACCTTAGAGGAGATAACTCATATAATAATGTGATGTTCCAAAAAATGTCATCTGCTTTTGCTTTTCTAAGTTACTGTCATTGAGTGTCAGTAGTCAGTTGCCATGTATACCTGCTGTTGGTACCTATGGTCATCAGGGTTGACAGCACATGTCTGACCATTGTTGGGTGGGCGAACAGCTTGGTATCTGTAAGGTGGAAAAATTAAGGCTGTAATTTTATTACCACATTGGCCATTTCCCAAGGTAGGGTGACCAAAAGAACACACGTTCGACATCACTCGTTCAATAGGTATCTTGTCTAAAGGGCAAGGATATCATAAGGTGTCCCATAGCTTGATTGCTAGCACACTCAGGCTCACACACTGAGGTCCAGGAATCGATCCCCCAGTACGGCTGGAAAACATTAGGATGTGTTTCCATAAGACACCTGCTGTCCCTGTTCACCTATCAGTAAAATGGGTAACTGGGTGTTAGTTGACTGGTGTGGGTCGCATTCTGGGACAAAACTGACCTAATTTGCCCGAAATGCTCTACATAACAAGCTTTCTATATAGTATTATTATTATTATAATCAAAAAGAAGCGCTAAGCCACAAGGGCTATACAGCTTTCTATATAGTAGTACAGTATGTCGTTGACATGAGCTAGGCATGTATACCTTGCATATGTACTTGTAGAAACTTGCAGAACCACAAACACCTCCATTCATCCTTCAGTGCAGGCACTATACTTTTCACACCAGAACTCAGGTCCAACTAACCAGTTTTCCAGAATGTGTTCATAAATGTTATCTTGATCACACTCCAACAGCATGAGAGGCAATGAATATTACTTGAAATAAACATACAGAAAATCATAAAGCTGCACCCTTCAAAGGAGGAGGGGGGTAGGGGATTGCTTTGATACTGGTGAAGGGCTATTTATCCAAGGAATTGAAGCTACTCTTACCTTCTTTAGATCACACCTGATTATCTCTCATTCGACAGCCTCTGTATGACCCTTATAGGTCTAATGAATATAATAATAAAGAATCTATACAAATACATAATGGAAGGAACATTTATAATGTCACTGGTATATAAATATACCATACCTGAGAAATATGCCATACCTGAGAAAGTTTCCTCTGCAAGCTAGCCAGGGAAGGATGTCGACCTGCCAGTGTAGAGCAAAGTTAACTTCTGGACTAACCAGTGTTGGACTCCCGGCACCGCTCCCTCGAGTCAGAAGTTTTCGTTCTCTGAAATTGCACCTCTTTCACCTCATAAGATTTTAATAGGGATAACTGGAAAAGTAAGCAGATGGATTGTCAGCTTTCTAAAAAACTGTACCGAATGATTAATACTGTAGTCAACAAAATAACATTAAAGGCCAACACTGTTGAAAGCTTTATACCTCATGAAACATGCTCACACAATATGCTTTCCCATCCTCAAATGTGATAAAGAGATAAAGACATACTGTGGTGCAATATCATCCTTCGCATAATTTAGACACTAGCATTTGTTTGATAGTAACATGTACCTAACACAAAATGAACCTTAAGCTGATGTGATGTAAACTTACTTTTCCACTGGATCAAATAAAACAATGTTCAACACTCTTTAAGGGGTGCCTTGATGCCAATGAAGGGCTCTTGCATCACTGGTCTGTTAGTGACCAATAAAACTGTGTTTAATGAAACCAAAATTGGGTTTCTGGCCATCTTACCTTCCCTGCTATCATGGGAAATAATATCCTTACAACTAAGTTTTGGTCACATTAGATTCAAACATGGCTATCCCATGGAGAGGTGTCTGGTAACCCTCTGCAAGAACCAAGAAGTTATACTTATACGTACTCCAACATCTTGTGAATGATTGTCCCATACAGAGAACATGCAAACTTCAGTGCCCTCATATGTTTTATGTTTTGCTGAATGATCCACGTAAGTTTAGTTTTACACGAATATAATATTGTACTATACTAGCAGGCTACCATCAGGCTAAGGGATAAAAATGGGGATTTACTCTAAGTATTAAGGATTTTATTTCTTTGCATAGTTTACAATGTGTAAATACAATTTTGATTTGCTAAGTACAAAGAAAGCCACTATCATGCCGGGGCATTTCGGGCAGACTAAACAGAGGAGAAGCCCAGGAGCCTTGCCTTGTCCAGTCTAGCAACTATGGTGGTATGAAGGCAGTCACTAATATTCATGAGCAATTGCTGATCTATCATTGGAACAAATGGTTTATAGCAGACAGGTACCCCTTAAGAAAGGTCTCTTGATGCCAGTGAGGGGATCCTGATCCAAAGAATTGGACCTGACCTTTTTGTTGGATTGAACCTATTTCCTCCCATTCCCCCAGGTTCTGTATGACACCTACAGTTTAGTGCTCCTTCCCATGAATGTGATAAGAATAGTAGGTTCATCAGTACATTTTCCTACAATGAGGATGATCCTACTAACAAAACATAGATACGTCTCAAGACTTCAAAGGGATTAGGATAGGAAAACGCCCACCTGTCGTAGCAACAGGTCTGAGAGGCCAGAGATGCTGAGGTGACACGAGATCTAATGCAGTGATGGGCACCACGGTGGTACACGTCTATCCGCTCCTTCTCTCCGCTCACTCCCACCCATCTGTAACAGTGCAGGTTATGGATGAAACACTGATAAACTAATGCTAGTACAGATGATAATATTAGCATTACTGGCAGTAAAAGGAAGTTACAGGATTGACAGAGCTTAGTAGCAATGTGAATATTTTATAATCTTGCATATTTTTAGCAGAACAAATAGACAAGAAAGTTTCAAGTGTAATGAAAATGATGATCCTGTTGCTTATAACTGTTTGTAATAACAATAAGTATATTAATAGGGTAATCATACTTGGCAGTGTATATTGAGGGTTTGATATTCCTAAACTGGAAAAAAAAGGTGGGACATTGTTATTTTTGTGTATGTCAGGGAAATTCTGATATGGGTTATTGTCATACAGTATGATTACTCATTCAGTGGTGCAATTTGCTCTCTGAACAGGAGCACAGCAAGAAGAAAATGCTGGTAATGCAGTGCTCTAGTTGGTGGTGCCAACTAATATAGATGCAAAAGTATTAACTCTTGATCCAAATGCAAATCTGTGCAGTGCAACTGCTGTGAGTCATTTATTATTTGTCATGGAAAATTACTTGACAGGGGTCTTTGCCATGAGATGGCCCAGTCCTATGGTGGAGAACAACAAAACAGTAGGTTTATATGAAAACATGCTGTATAGCCCTTGTGGCTTAGCGCTTCTTTTTGATTATAATAATAATAATACAGTGGACCCCCGGTTAACGATTTTAATCCGTGCAAGAGGGCTCATCGTTATGCGAAATAATCGTTATGCGAATGAATTTTCCCCATAAGAAATAATGGAAATCAAATTAATCCGTGCAAGACGCCCAAAAGTATGAGAAAAATTTTTTTTTACCACATGAAATGTTAATTTTAATACACACAAACTGAAAAAGGCATGCACAATTAAATGACACTTACTTTTATTGAAGATCTGGTGATGATTGATGGGATGGGAGGAGGGGAGAGCATTATCTTCTTACTGTTTAGAAGGGGAATCCCCTTCCATTACGACTTGAGGTAGCAAGTCCTTTTCCGGGGTTACTTCCCTTCTTCTTTTAATGCCACTAGGACCAGCTTGAGAGTCACTGGACCTCTGTCGCACAACAAATCTGTCCATAGAGCTCTGTACCTCCCGTTCCTTTACGATTTGTCTAAAATGGGCCACAACATTGTCATTGAAATAGTCACCAGCACGGCTTGCAACAGCTGTGTCAGGGTGATTTTCATCTATAAAGGTTTGCAGTTCAACCCACTGTGCACACATTTCCTTAATCTTTGAAGTAGGCACAATGGATTCCACAACTGGCATAGGCTTCTCAGGGTTAGCCCCAAACCCTTCAAAATCTTTCTTAATTTCCATACTAATTCTCACCCTTTTTACCACAGGGTTGGCACTAGAAGCTTTCTTGGGGCCCATGGTCACTTATTTTCCAGAAACAGCACCGAAAACACTGTAATAATACGAAATATTCCGAGTGTATGCTTGGATGTTACCGCGGAGGCTGGCTGGTAAACAATGGGACGGCCGGCACATGTGAGGCTGGCTGAGGGCACATTGGACGCGTCTCGGACGAAAATCGGTAAGCGGGTTTTTAATCGGTATGCGCGGCAAAAATTTTGCGATAAAAGTAATCGGTATGCGGAAAAATCGCTATGTGATGCCATCGTTATGCGGGGGTCCACTGTAATATGAAAACATGTGAAAGTAGGATAGCCTAAGGGCAGGTCATGGTAAAAGTGACCCTTGGATTACTAACTGTGGTCAGAGTGCAGTACATTTTTGAGAATGTTCCTAAATTGGATAACATACAGTGGGTAGGGGTTGGAGGGGTGTAGGGTGAGAGAAATGTGAGGGACTTACCTAAAGTAGATGTGGTGGGTAGGGTCATAGAGGTGGTGGTGGTAGGGTAAGTCAGCAGGGTACAGGCAGGGGCAAGAGGGTAGTGACTTCAGGTTAGCCAGTTCTTGCAGGACTTCCTCCACTCTGCAGGTGGACCAAGCCGTGCACGGGTCCACTTCTGAGGGCAGTAACGACCAGATCGAAGTAGGAGTGGTGGTACCTAAAAGCAGCTAAATCCATGTGCATATATAATATGGTCATAGAGTGCCTGGGGAATGAGAGGTGATAGGAAACGAGAGGAACAGGTTTTATCAGAGGAAGGTGATGTTAGTTCCAATTTTTTTGCAACAAGAGCCCTTCACCAGTTTCAAGACCCCCTTGAAGGGAATAATAGTAGTAGCTAGTGTGACGACGGTGATAAGAGTTTGTGGTGTTGACTATTTACATTAATAGCAATAAGAGTAACAGTACAATGTGATAAGATTAAGATAAAGGTTTATTTCTTTGTAAAAATTACAATGTGTAATTACAATTTTGGTTTGCTAAGTACAAAGAAAGCCATTATCATGCTGGGGCATTTCGGGCAGACTAATCCTAATACATAGTAACTACTTAAAACTAGACATAATAGTACACAGTAACTACTTAAAACTAGACAAGATAGTATTGGTTAACTATATTACAATTTTATATAATCTTAATACTAATGCGAGGTAGACAAGGTGGAGGTTTTAAGAATAATAATCCTGAAGTTGCACATAATAAAAACAATATTACAGATAATGGTTCAGGCAATAATATTCCATGGACTGGCAGATGTTTAAAAGTCTAGAGGTCACATACTATAACCAATTAGCATTTGTTTTGGTTGAATTGGTTAGTACGTATTGAGAGATAAGATGATTTTTTAGCAGTCCTAAATTTATAAGTAGTCAGGGATCCTTTACCAGTTCTGGTAGTGAGTTCCAGACCTTCGGGTCCTGTATGTGCATAGTGTTTTTGCATAGTGTGAGACTGACACGAGGGATGTTGAAGAGTACCTTATGCCTTGTATTGTGACTGTGTTCTGTTGTAACTGTCAAGTAGTTTAAGTGGACGGTTTATAGTGGATTTTAATGTTCTGTATATGTAGTAGGCACAATAATATGAGTATATGTCTCATATATTTAGCAAGTTCAGGCTTTTGAAAAGTGGTGGGGTGTGTTGTCTATCACAGGAGCTGGTAATCATCCACACAGCAGCTTTTTGTGGGGTTATTAAAGATTTAAGGTGATTGGCTGTGGCTGATCCCTGGGCACAAATACCATAGGTAAGGTAAGGATAAATTGAAGAGTGGTATAGGGTAAGGAGTGTCGTTTGCTGTACATATTATCGTATCTTGGAAAGGATGCCTACTGATTTGGAAATTTTCTTGGATATGTGTTGGATGTGGGAATGAAATTTAAGATTACGGTCAAGGAGAAGACCTAGAAATTTACCCGCAGTATATCTTGATATAGGGGAACCATTTATCGATATATCAAGTTGGATATTTAAGGCTCTGTTGCCAAACAGAATGAAGTATGTTTTGTCTATGTTGAGTGAGTGAGTTGGTCATCATCCAAATATATATTTTTAGCAGCTCGTTGTTTACAGTGTTTCTAAGTACAGCTGGGTTCGAATGGGAGTAGACATAAGTAGTGTTATCTGCGAATAGAACTGGTTTAAGGAGTTGGGTTGCATTGGGGAGATCATTGATGTAGATGTGGTTAATTTTTGTGATTGTTATACCATTAATAATAGCACAAACTGCAATAATAGTATGGCAAAAACACAGCAGTAAGCCAACAAAGTAGGTCACATTAAAAAATATTAATGCCTAACTAATTTCCAAAACTTTCTAATGTATATTCTATACATCGCTGAGACTACTTGGCAATTTATCTTGCTTACCTATAACTTTATTGTCAAATAAACATCGAAATCCTTTATCAATAATATTTTTTTTTCGAAATCAAATCTATTATTCATTCTGCCTTGATTCGATTTTTTAAACACTTTAGAAGAATAAGTCACAAATGTGTCTGAAACAAATAACTTGTCCTTAAATTGTAAAGAAGAAATTAGACGAGTTTTGGTTACTCGCATATGAATGGTCCAGATGGTAGGGAAGCATCGTCCAGTTTTAACTGCTAAATTGTTGACTTGTGATTATTCCCGCCAGCATACTCCACCAATTTTCAAGTCTGAATCTGCTCACCATTAAGAACATCCATACTTATTCATGTGCCTACTACATACACAGAACAATACACGCAAATATAAACCCTCCACTCAAACTTCTCCTCACCAACCTTAACAGGACACATGACCACAACACAAGACACAGATCTCATTTTGATATACAGTATACTTCGTGTCCATATCACACTGTGTAAGAACTCTACGCACATAAAGGGCCCTAAAATATGGAATTCATTACCAGAAGATATTAAAGTAACCCAGTCTGAAAATCAGTTTAAGACTCTTCTCAAAAGCCACTTAATCACCCTAGACTAAACACTAAATACTCAGTACACACATACTCACTTATGTACTCCCACATCATAACTTCAACAATCACTTTGAACCTTTTATCCATTGTTGACAGGAATATAACTGAACCATTATTTTCACAAAAAGCATTTTAGACTATATGAATATATCCTTTGTCTTATACAAATTTAATTCACTTATAATTAATAATATACTGTTCAACTATGAAATAATTACTATCCTACTGTACAACTATGATATAATCCTTAAGTGTTAAGTAGTCTGTAAGCCAATAATGTTAAGTTGGCCCATAATACCTAGGCATAATAGAGGCTCTCTTTGCATTGTAACCCACTATTGTATATATAAAATCTCAATGTACTGTTTGCAAAGACATAAAATAAATAAATAGATAAATGTTGAAGCATTAATGAGGGTCACCCAAATCTTTGAGCATAACATTTGCAAATTGATTTTACTTCATTCACAATGTTCTGTTTTCTGTCTGCTAGAAATACCTTGATCCTCTTTATTATTTTGCCTATAATGCCATATAAGAATATATGTGTCAACGAATGATCTCTGCAGTAACCTATGACACTGAGCTTGACTCTATCATCATTTCTGATTCTATGTCATCATTGAAGGCTCTTGACTCATATAATGACTCCAACAACATGCTCATTGGAGAAGCCAGGTATAGATACTCAAAAATTAGAGACAAAGGAATAAATGTACAATTGCTATGGATCCCATCACACATTGGATTACTCCTTCATGATAAAGTTGGTATGTTAGCCAAGAAGAGTACCCAGAAGGAGAATGTAGAATATAACTTTGGTACAACTGTGTCTAACATTAGGAATAATATTAGGAGAGAAGTAAATAATGAAAATGATTGTTATAGGAATGCAGTTAGAAGCCTGAGTAGATCTATAACCCACTATGATAACATGAACGTAGATAAGTATGTTTATGGAGCAACTTGCAATGTGAACACTGACTGACTGATGTTGTAGTGGCCAGACTTAGGCTTGGTTACAAGTACTTCTGGCAGTTTGGGAGACACACAGTTGATGATTAAACTAAATGTAAATTATGTGATCAGGCATATGGTCACTCTCTTGAACACTATGTGCTTAATTGTCCATTTATTGAGGAATACAGAGACAGACAGTATAATAACCTATGTGACATGTCAAGGTATTTCCTAAATTTGCTTGTAACAGATAAGTGAACTATATATATGTAGATATAAATCCATATGTATTTCTGTTAACCCTTTGGGGCCTAGTTCCTGGGCCTTTTGTGTATCCATATGCTCTCGCTCTACCGTCCACAGGATGGATATGGGGTGCACAATAAACTAGCCACTTCGGTGGCAAAATCAAAATCTAATCTGCAGTAGTCCTATTGGCCCATGCTAAAAATAAATACTTTCAGCACTCAGTTTATACGTTTCCTTCATCCATTTCTGTTGTCTATTTTTATACTAAAGTAATATCGCCCCTACCTAATTCTACATCTTTCCAGAGTGCGAAGCTGTATAGCCCTTGTGGCTTAGCGCTTCTTTTTTGATTATAATAATAATGACCAGAGTGAGAAATTAGTCTTCATCATATGTTCATAGGAAAGGTTTCTGATACATGACATCAGTTTTCTCATCCTTCTCTGTATATTTTACAGCGCACTTAGCGTATAAGTCAACCCCTAAAATTTAGAGGTGTTAATTCAACTTTTGGCCTATATTCACTCGATAGGTCGATCCCCCTTAAATAAAAAAGGCAGCACCACTTCCATCAGACTGTCAAGCCATTCAGAAGAGATAAGTGGAAATTTATTCAGTATGATTTAACGGGAATAAAAATTCCACAGTTTTACACGTACATACATACTTGAACTTCAACTTTCCACCATCGTCGAATTAAGAGGCACCTTTTTGAACGTTGAAGATATCCCCCTAAGGGTTTTGAAAGTTACCCGAGTTATTTCAGGATGCAGGGAATGAGTTCAACAACTTTGATCATGAGACACCTGCAAATGCCAATTGTTCCATTAATCTGATTCTTGTTACTGTATACAAATGTTAAGTTTATTCAAGTACAGGTACACAAATAGTTACATAAATTATCATAAATAACAGCATATGTGTAGATTGGAAGCTGATTGGATAAGGTATTCTCGAGTTATGGCTCAAATACACTAAGAAGTTACTACTAATTAAGTATTCCCCTTTGGGGATACCTAAGCATGGGCCAGTAGGCCTGCTGCAGTGTTTTTTCTTTCTTATGTTCTAATTAGTAGCAAGGAGATTAACACTTACCAGCAGCCGAGTGATGGGTTGTGTGGTCAGGCTGTAATTCATCTGTGCTGAGGATCTGCTCTAGTGCCTCAGCCAACCCCAACACTAGGTCCTGTGTCGAACCTGTCTGCCTCTCCTCTCCCCTGGCTCTTCCTTCTTTGCCTTTTCTTTTTTTTTCGTCTCTTATTTTCCCTTTTCTTCCTACTTGTCTTCTGCCTTCTTCGCTATTATCTCTCCTTGTGTTTATAGACGTTTCATTCCATTTGTTACTGTCTTCGATTTGTTTTCCTCGGTTCTTCCCTTTTGTAATTTCTCCCTGGTCTTTCTTTTTTTCAAGCTTTCTCTTCTTTTTTTTCCGTTGCCTTCTACTGCTATGTCTCATGTAGTCACCATGGTGTCGGGACCTTTCGCCATCCAGTCTAGAGTCCTTACTGTGGTAATGGGATCTTTTAGTACCCGGTTTCATGTCCTTAACATGGTGTTGGGACCATGCAACACCAGCTCTTGTGCCCTCACCAAGGTGTTGGGACTGTACACTTCCTTGATTTCGAGGCCATTCCGTCTTTACAGGATCCCACTCCTCCACATCCTGTGATAAAATCAAGTATTTTTCTCCATTATATCCATTGATTTAAAATAATATCAATGAAAGAACAGAGATTGTGATGAACAAGTTATAAACGTGTTCTAAAAATGAAAATGGAATAAAAGTAAAAAGTGCAACAAGAATTTATTATTAGGAAGAGAGCATTCTCTTGCAAACTCAGTTGATAAGATGACAGCCAGAATCAAAATGAGAGATGGTAGGATAAGATAAGATTTTGTTCTAATTTTTAACCCCAGGATAACCCAAGAAAGTCAGTGCGTCATCGAGGGCTATCTGTCCTATTTTCACTGGGGTTCTTTTATCTTGTTCCCCAGGATGTGGCCCACACCAGTCGACTACCATCCAGGGACCTACCTGCTTGCTAGGTGAACGGAGACAGCAAGTGTAAGGAAACACGCCCAATAAAAGGGTTCTAAAAAGCAAGATGGCCACCTACTTGTATACCCATCAGTTGCACAACCCAGGGCAGCATGGGTTTAGAGTAGGTCGCTCCTGCCTCTCACAACTACTGGACCACTATGACATGGTCTTAGATGCTCTGGAGGACAAACAAAATGCGGATGTAGTATACAAAGACTTTGCGAAAGTCTTCGACAAGTGCGATCATGGTGTAACAGCAGCACACAAAATGCGTGATAAGTGAATAACAGGAAAAGTGGGTAGATGGGTCTATAACTTCCTAACAAATAGAACACAAAGAGTAATAGTAAACAGAGTAAAATTAGTGGCGGCTACAGTGGAAAGCTCTGTTCCACAAGGTACAGTACTCGCTCCCATCCCATCCCATCCTCTGACATATATCGAGACGTAAGCCGTGTCCTTTGCTGATGATACCCGAATATACATGACAGTGAAATCCATCGAACACTGTGCAAATCTTCAAGCGGACATCAACCAAGTCTTTAAATGGGCCACAGAAAACAATATGAAGTGCAATGAAGACAGATTTCAATTACTTTCCTATGGAAAACTCGAGGAAATAAAAACTGAATCGAAGTATAAAACAAATTCCAACTACACAATAGAGCGAAAAACTAATGTGAAGGACCTGGGAGTGATAATGTCAGAGAATCTAGCTTTCAAAGATCACAACACTGTATCTACCACATCTGCTAGGAAAATGATAGGACGAATAATGAGAACCTTCAAAACTAAGAGATGCCAAGTCCATGATTATTCTCTTCAAATCGCTTGTTCTCTCTAGGCTGGAATACTGCTGTATACTAACGGCCCTTTTCAAGGCAGGAGAAATTGCAAGCCTTGAGAATATACAGAATTTTCACTGCACGTATAAGTACGACAAACCACCTAAATTACTAGGAATGGTTGAAATCCTTTGATTTGTACTCCACGTAAAGCAGACGAGAAAGATGCATGTTAATATACACTTTGAAAATCCTAGAGGTACTAGTCCCAAATTTGCACACGAAAATCACTCCCTACGAAAGCAAAAGACTCAGCAAAAAATGCAACATCCCCCCAATAAAAAGCAGGGGTGCCACGAGTATACCTGGAGTTTACCTGGAGAGAGTTTCGGGGGTCAACGCCCCCGCGGCCCGGTCTGTGGCCAGGCCTCATGGTGGATGAGAACCTGATCAACCAGGCTGTTACTGCTGGCTGCACGCAATCCAACATACGAGCCACAGCTCGGCTGGTCAGGTACCGACTTTAGGTGCTTGTCCAGTGCCTGCTTAAAGACAGCCAGGGGTCTATTGGTAATCTCCCTTATGTATGCTGGGAGGTGGTTGAACAGTTTCGGGCCCCTGACACTTACTGTATTGTCTCTTAACGTGCTAGTGACACCCCTGCTTTTCATTGGGGGATGTTGCATCGTCTGCCGAGTCTTTTGCTTTCGTTGTGAATGATTTTCGTGTGCAAGTTCGGTACTAGTCCCTCTAGGATTTTCCAAGAGACAACACAATAAGTGTCAGGGCTTCCCAACATAGATAAGTGGGATTACCAATAGACCCCCTCTGGCTGTCTTCGAGGAGATGAACAGCCACCTAAAATCAATACCTGACCAGCCAGGCTGTGGTTTGTACGTCGGTTTACGTGCGACCAGCAGTAACAGCCTGGTTGATCAAGCTTGATCCACAGCGAGGCCGAGCCGTGGGAGCCTTTACCCCAAACCCTAATCCAGGTATACCCGGCAGGGACTGAACCATGGATACTCGGTGTGTGTGAGAGCGTTGCCTACTAGGCCACGAGAGGCCATCATAAATGAACAAATTTTAATGCCGGATTCATGAAGTAGAGAAAAAAGACTGTGATCCTCTTTGGCATGGATGGACAAGGCATGAAAGGTATAGAGAGGACAATAAGGTTATAGGGACTTCCTTTTTGATATAACTAGTACAGCATATGAATCTCCCTTAAAAAAAAATTAGAAACAAATGCATAATACTAAAGGAAAGATTAGCAAAGGACCGACCGCACAGTTCTTACACAGAGAAATCAGCAATAACCTATAATGTAATATTCCCAAAGGGATACCATACATTTTAGAGAAAAAATAGGTCAGAGAAGTGGAATTTCAAGTAGGAACAATAACAAATATCAAACCTAATGTAATAACAGCAGCAATATATCCCCTTTCCCCAGGGATAAATAATAATAACAATTTCCAGAAATGCATAGTCATTTGAAATATGTTGTCAGCTTCATTAATGGTCTTTCCCAAGTAACATTTAAACAATTGACTTACCTGAGAATCTACTCCCCAGTTATGTGGATTCTTCTTGATACATGTACTTATGTCCTCTCCTGTAAGACAACGGTTACTTAATATATAATCTTGCATCATGGCTCTCTTGTGTAATTTGGCAGTACATCTTTTTCCAATAGCCCTAAATATAAAATTCAAATTTAGTTTGACTAACTAAACTAACCATTGTTCCTGCAGTTATGTTTCATAACTACTCAAACCTACACACTACAATCTTTAAAACTAGTATTGCTGTAATACTCTTTTTTTTCATCAAGACTGTTTACTCATCTGTAAGAATTTATTTTAATGTTAACCTTAGGGAAGAGAATGCCATCCTCCAGACTTTTGCGTGGGTAGAAACTTTTTTGTGATTTTGATATTGTTAATTATTCACTCCCTTAACGCTATGTAAAATGCTACCTGGGATTTCCCATTCCAATGAGCGTTCATGTCTGAGAGCAAAATAAAGTCTATTCTTCCCTCGCCAGGAAGTTGGACCTACCCGAAGAGCTGCTGCTCATTTGTAGGCTGTTGATTCCGCCGAATCAGTCGGCTGATCTTTATTAACAAATGTAAAATAGGCATTAGAATGGAAACATCCTTGTGGTACCGTGGTTATTACATGGCCACCTGACATTTATTAAAGTATTTTTGTGACTTGAGAGTCTTGCCTTGTAGGGCTTTATTGGAAGAAGGTGGAGTAGAGAAGATGAAATTTCAAATATTGCAGCAGTTTTATGCTCCTCCAAAGGCTACATGTAACTAGTAAAACCATTCCATTAAACTATTTCGACCACCATCAAAAGCTCAGTGGCCATTAAACGACCGGAGGAAACTGTTTTCTACTAGTCACTAGACCAGAACTTGTGTTGCATCTCTCCTGCAATGTAAGGCAACGGTAGTAATTGACTGTTCATGCAGACACTAGTACAATATTTCCCGAAATACCACCACTCCACTCAGATTTATAAGGACAAAGTTTACGGCATTTCCATATTAGCCCACAAAAGCCCTCCTGTTGGTCCACACTACCATTGCAGTTTCTCATAAGGTCTAAAGACTCCAAGCATACATCCTTTATTTCATAATCACTATCAGGTACTCAACTCTTACACTTCTACTTTCCCCCCCAAAAAAGACCTTTTTTTTGGGGGGGGGGGAACTGACTCCTTACACTAATTCATACACATTCTTGTCCACATTCGTGTCCATCCAATCCCACAAGTCTTTTCAGCCCCATTTTCGTTTTAGTGGCGGAGGTTCACGTATCCTCACCCTCTAGACCCACCTCACAATCTTGCCGATGTTGCTAGATAATTTTTAATTAACTTCTTTTTTGGAGCGGATTTTATTGTGACTTCTGACTTGTGGGGGCTTTTAAGTGCACTTTTACATTTAATATTCCAATACGTGAGCTGTAACCTATATAAAGAGCCTCTAACTCGTACTCATTCACTAGTCCTGCTTCTTGACGGACCTTACCTAACCTAACCTAACCTCGTACTCATTCAGGTATGATCATTCAAGTTACCTCTCTACTATCACTGTTGCCCAGCGCTGTATAGCCCTTGTGGTTTAGCCCTTCTTTTTTATTATAATAATAATAATACTATCACTGTTAAATGAGAACTGATAAATAATCTTCATGATAACGATCCTTAATCTACAGAGAACCTAAGGCTTGCTGTTTCCTTTAGGACATAGAAAAACGTATGTGGCCCAAATACTTACTGCAAAACTACCTATACAACAGACTTGGTCGAGCCTACACAACACGAACTGCTGGTTCGAATAAAACGAATCATCTTCAGTCCATTAAAATTCGCCAAATAAAAAGTGAACAGTCTGCTAGTAAGTTTTAGGTACAGGTACACATCAATACAATTACACAAATTATCATACATATGTAACAAATATTTAGAGATCTTTTTGAAGTGTTTATATTGCACCCTATCTGTGGAGAAATTTTCTCCAGGAGGGGGGTATCAGCCCCTTCAGCCCCTTTCAGCCCTTTCAGCCCTGAGGGGCCCAGCCCTCTCAGAAGGGGCAAGCGTCTTGTTTACTGATACAGTGAGTAATTGATCGCAGATGCAGTACGAGTATACGACGTGGTCAAGCGACCACTGCTCCTTGCAGTCCAGTGTTTACCTGGAGAGAGTTCCGGGGGTCAACGCCCCCGCGGCCCGGTCTGTGACCAGGCCTCCTGGTGGATCAGAGCCTGATCAACCAGGCTGTTGCTGCTGGCTGCACGCAAACCAACGTACGAGCCACAGCCCGGCTGATCAGGAACTGACTTTAGGTGCTATATATATTATATATATATATATATATATATATATATATATATATATATATATATATATATATATATATATATATATATATGTACGTCGTGCCGAATAAGGCAAACGAAAATTTGTGTCTGCAATATTTCGCAAAAATCATTTTGAACCTAATGAAAAAATATATATTTCATTGTGTTTGTTTATTATTAAATTATTGTAAACTTATCTAAAATATATTTAGTTGGATTAGGCTAAATTAAATTGGGCTTGTTATAATAAGATTAGGTAAGTTTTCTAAGGTTCTTTCGATACAAAATTATCAATTTTTACTCAAAAATAAATGAAAAAAATATATCTTTGAAGGTATAAGAGAAAATTTTAGAAAGGACTTAATTTTAAATGCGTTCTTGGTAATTGACTAGTTTCACCTATTCGGCACATTATATATATATATATATATATATATATATATATATATATATATATATATATATATATATATATATATATATATATATATGCAGACAACACTCGCAGACAGGCGATCTTAACAATGCAAGATCATGCATGTGTAGCGACTGCTACGGCCTACAGGATGAGTTGGGTACATACTAAAATAACCACTAAACGTAATCAACTAATCTACCAGTCTTACACTTGTGGTGTACTTACTGTGGTTTGGGTGGTAGTGGGTGTGGCGATGGTGGTAGTTGTGATGGTGGTGGTTGATGCTACATCTGTATCTTTCCTGGATTTGTCTTCGTTCACACCAGACACCATTCCTGCAGATTTTTTTTAATTAATTAATCCTTTAGAGAGCTAAATATTTATTAAGTTTGGTAATCATTCCATGTTCACGATAACTGTAAAACTCTAACTAGTAGTTTTTTAGACATCATTAGTGTAATTATCCTTTCTGCAGTTTTCATAAGATAAGGCAAGAATTTCCTAAGAACAGAGTAAACAAAGATTATTCAAAGTAACAGCTGATCATTATTGTCTACCTCAGCAGTGTAGTACCACCACCACCACTAGCACAGTCACCATCACCATAACACATCTGTGAGGCACAGACAAGTTCCCCATGTAGTGGGCCAATAGGAGACACCTACATGACTGCATACTGCAGGGAGGTGCAGATGGCAGAGGCCGCTGTGTCCAGCTTCTGTCAGCTCTCCAGGCTCAACAACAAGCTCAACTACTGTGTCCTCTACAACTGTCTCCCACTTTAGTCTTTAGTCACCCACAACAATCACTCTCACTTTATTCAAAACTCCCTAAACATTCACTTAACTTCTCCCAAATTATCTCTTATCTACACTCCTCTTGCCCTTTTACCCAGTTACTTCTCACATCCCACATAATTATTGAATTTAAACACCCCTTCCATTCCATAGTTGAAAATTTCTATCATCACTGCCTCTTAAGCTCTAGTCCTCTCAGATACACCCGATTTAATCTCATTTACTCTTCGTAACATTCTCTCATCTCTTATAGTTTTATTGTACTTAGTACTAGGACATTCAGCTTCCTTTATTTCAAATATTAACAATCAATTTTTTTTCTTTTTATCTGTTCTACACTCACGCACATTTAAACAGTCCAAGTTTATAATTTCCGTCTTAGTCTGTTTTAGTAATTGATACAGATGTGGTTACTAGTTCCTTGTTTCTGGCATTTTAGTCGCCTGCGATATGTAATGCTCACGGAGGTATTAGCCCTTAAGAAAACACTACCAGAGCAAGAACTATTAAGAAATTCAAATGAGTGTGTACACACATACACATGTTGTACATAATACATGTACATTCACATGCATATAGTCAAATGTATATTGGATGTTAGTATTAGCTGCAAGATTTACCTGTCATCTTACGTGTTCATGAGACAGAAAAAACAGGAATCCTGCCTGTGTAGAACATTTAAATGAAGCCCTAAACCTGCCAGAGAAATGGTAAGTAATCAAGTTTAATGCAGGGATATAAATGTTATGTTGCTATACCGGCTAGTTTACTGTGCAGTCCATGCTCATCCTGTGAGTGGTAGCGCAAGAAAAAACAGGATTACAGTCACAATGGATCTCTAGGGATATGAACTATGGAAGGTTGATCCAATTCGTTGGGTAAACCATCACAAGGCATTCTCTTGAGGGGTGTAGATCCGGAAACAGGGATTAACAATTACTTCATGCATCCCCCTCAGGATGCATGACTTAACACTGTACTAGCCACAGTCCTTTCCATAATGGGCTAAACTTCGCCTCACAAATTCCTATATTGTCACACATACGAAGTGTTGACACAACAGGTTCCAGCACATTAGTCATAAATCCATGGTACTGAAACATCATCTGGTTCCAACGAAGAAAATAATCTTAGTTAAGGTTATTATAAGTATGCCGTGGAATTACAGATAATTTTGTCTTCTCAGTGTTCGAGATTTTTTCAAGGGAGGAGCTGCTGCCTTGATGATGACGAAGGGCTGCCTTGATGCTGTGAAGGACTGTCTTGATGCTGGTAAAGGACTCATGATCGTAGGATTTGGAATTATCCTCCCTTTTCTCGGATCAAACTTGCTTACATCCCATTCCCCAGATGTATGATCCCTACGGGCTTAGCGCTGTCTTATATAAATAATAATAATAATAATAATAATAATAATAATAATAATAATAATTGTAAATTAGTGCAACTAATTTATATATTTTTTAACAAACTAGTCAACTTTGTTATATTTATTTGCATATCTGGCAGCATGTTTCTCTACCGACACCTTTTGATAACTAGAAAACATACCTTGAGTCTTATTTTTTTGCTGATAATTCTGGTGCCCTGAGATGTGCTCGTCCGACGATGAGATCTGGTCGTCCCACGTTGAGGGGGCTTGGTCGTTCCAAGTTGAGGAGCTCTGGTCGTCCCACGGTGAGGAGCTCTGGTCACCTACACCACTTCCATCAACAACATGGATGCTAACTCTTATATCTGGGTTGTACTGAAGCCACTTTAAACTCTCGCTGTTGACAATTTCCAGTGGAATGAGAAAATGGTTTGAATTCTCTCTTGGAAGTCGAAACACTTCGCTTGAACCGTCTCTTCGACTCAGCCTTGGTGGTGTTGAAGATTTGACTTCTTGCACCAGGAAGTGTTTATTGCTTCCAGTCAGTAATTTCACCAGTTCTGATTTTTTGACTTCCGGAGGAGTGATAGAGTGAAATGAAATTGTGGTACGAGGTTGTGGAGCTCGAGATTTTGCTGTTGGTGTTCGAAGTGCTGTGGACTGGGAGTATTCAGACTGGTGACGCTGTCGTTTTGAGCCTCCACTGTTGAACTGTTTTGTTCTCTTTCTCTTCCTCCCTTCTGTTTTCTTCTCTTCTTCTTCTTTCCCTTATTCCTTCTTCTTTTCCCTCCGTGAAGCTTAAATGTTTTTAAGAACCTCTTCGCCCTGTTTGACGTAGAGGATAAAACCGTCACTATCCTCTCAGTCCCTTGGCCTCGTCCTTCTGTAACCTGAGGCATAGAGCAAAAATATAATAATAACAACAACGATAATAACAGCAACAAAACAACAATGATAATAACAGCAGCAACGACAACAGTAATAATAGCAACAATAATAATACTAGCAACAATAACAAGTACATAGCAGTAGGTAAATACACAGAAATTAGTTTAAATGCTGTGGGTCGCATCTTGGGTTAAGACCTAAAACCAGGATCCAATAAAAAAAAAACACACTGCTTGGCTTTCTTGTTGTATCCTGGGTTACCAAGTCTCCGGGGTTATTAATCTTCTTCTTCTTCTTCTTCTTCTTCTTCTTCTTCTTCTTCTTCTTCTTCTTCTTCTTCTTCTTCTTCTTCTTCCTCTTCTTCTATACGTTTAGGTTACGTACGGTTTGTCAGAAAACAGGATATTTCCTGATGCGGGTCTTAGTCATGTGATGGCTTGTAGCTGGAGCTTTTGGGCATCTGACCGAGACTTTCTGCTGGCTTACCGGTCCATCCCTTTAAAAATTTTGGTTATTGTTATAATCACTGAGTTCTATCTATTCTAATATAGAAATGTGTTATTATATCTGTTAAAGCTGGATGCCGTCAACATCATTTATTATTCACAAAGAAAGAGAAAGTGTGTATAAAGACACTCAATGTAGAGAGAGAGAGTGTGTGTGATCACTAAACCATCTCCACCTGGTAATAGAATCATCACATCTCGGGGTGCCTGAGCTGATCAAACATAGGGATTAACCCAGTACAAACAATACCCTCTCAAATCTTATTACTGGCATACCTGTGATCGGTTTCCAACTTTAGCGGTAGTCGTTTAGCGGTAGGGCCTGGGGCCAGCCTTTTGTGGCAGATTACTGACGACCTGACTGTCCGATCTCGGACTGCGATTAGCGGACGGATGATGAAGCCTCCATTACTGTTTTCTTCTTCTCCTCGTCTTCCTCCTTCTTCTTCTTCCTCTTCTTCTTCTTCTTCTTCTTCTTCTTCTTCTTCTTCTTATTATTATTATTATTATTATTATTATTATTATTATTATTATTATTAGTAGTAGTAGTAGTAGTAGTAGTAGTAGTAGTAGTAGCAGCAGTAGTAGTAGTAGTAGTAGTAGTAGTAGTAGTAGTAGTGGTAGTAGTTGTAGTAGTAGTAGTAGTAGTAGTAATAGTAGTAGTAGTAGCAGTAGTAGTAGTAGTAGTAGTAGTAGTACTGTAGTAGTCGTAGTAGTATTATATATTTGCATAGTTTTAGTGTTAGTGTAGCACAGGGGTAATAAGGCAGGCATAATGTTTTGAACGTCCTCGAATGTTTCTCATCAAAAAATTCAAGACACGTCAATGCCAGCCAGCATCGTTACCTGGAATATACCTGGAGGGTGTTCCGGGGGATCAACGCCCCTGCGGCCCTGTCCATGTCCAGGGCCTGATAAACCAGTGTTGTAAGAGTTCTTGGATGAGTGACGGTGGAAGGAAACATCATCCAAGTAGACTCTTATGGAGGCATATATTCGGTCCGCTTGTCCGTCTACTAGTCTGGTCAGTGGAAGTGAGAGGGAGGCCTATGTGTGGGGGGAGTCACGTAACGTCAGGCAAATAAAGGAGCCTAACTATAAATGGTATTAGAATAAATATATATACTACACAACTACTGTCTGTTGACACCAGGCGGTTACTTCCGGTACTGACCAACCGGGCTATTGGTGATCTTATTGATAATCCCCTTTATGTATACTGGGAGGCAGTTGAACAGTCTTAGGCTCCTGACACTTACTATGTTATCTCCTAGTGTACTCATGGTACCCTTGCTTTTCACTGGGGATGTTGCATAACCTACCCAGTAGGGAGTGATTTCCTTGTGCAGATTTGGGACTAGTCCTAGGATTTTCCAGGTGCAAATTATGATGTAGCTTTCTCGCCTGCATTCAAAGGAATACAGGTCAAAGAACTTCAGACGTTCCCATTAATTACAGTGCTTTATTGTGTCAGGGGCCAAGATTGTTCAACTGCCTCCCAGCATCCATAAGGGAGATTACCAATAGACCCCTGACTGTCTTTAAGAAGGCTCTGGACAGGAACCTAAAGTCAGTACCTGATCAGCCGGGCTGTGGTTCGTACTTCGGTTTACGTGCGGCTAACAGTAACAGCCTGGTTCATCAGGCCCTGATCCACCATGAGGCCTGGTCACAGACCGAGCCGCGGGGGCGTTGACCCCCGAAACCCTCTCCAGGTATACGTACAGTGAAAGTTCTCTGTATATTATCCTGATCTGGAATTTCGCCTGCCTTGAAAGGGATCATTAGTATACAGCAATACTCTAGCCTAGAGAGAACAAGTGATTTAAAGAGAATAATTACTGGCTTGGCATCCCTTGTTTTGAAGATTCTCATTATCCATCCTATCATTTTCCTAGCAGATGTGATAGAGATGGTATTGTGATCTTTGAAAGTGAGATTTTCTACATTATCCCTCCCAAGTCCTTTACATTAAATTTTCGGTTGATTGTGTGGTTAGAATTTATTTTATACTCCGATCCAGTTTTTATTTCAAGTTTTTCGTATCGGAGTGATTGAAATTTGTCCTCCATGTGTAATATTTTATGTAAACTCCATCATAAGATATTTGCAGTTATTATCATAGTCACAATGGAGCGATAAAACCGTATGGGTCACACATCACCTGGGGAATGGGTGGCATTCAGGTTTGATCCTAGGTATCCCCCTGGAGGGGTCAGGGGGAAACCTTCATGCGCGCAAGAAGACAAGCCAGAAAATATTTAACGTTTCGTAAGTTTGCTTTATTAAGGCTAAAGTTTATGACAGTTTACAGTAGAGGAGGTGGGCAGGCAGGCAGCTGTCTTCAGAGGCAGTATGCAGGGCGCTCATCGTGGCTGTTAATACCTCCGGTAATAACAGTGTTTGTACCATGAAGAACTGGTAAAGTAAGCCACGTGCGGAAAAGACGAACCTAAAATATTTGTGGACTGAGACTCGCTTCAAAAGGGAATTGAATCTTTCTCCGTAATCGGCTCGTGAAAGTGTAGGCGATCAGAGCCTTTATACTGTTGTGGCGTTCGTCTTGATTGATGCGCGCGAGAGCTTAGTGTCAGGCTACCTTATTAATGGCCCTTCATTTTTTCAAGAAGCCTGGAAAAGTATATATTCATTAAAATTGTACTTGTTATGAACATTATTCAGGCGAAGAAGTTTTCTTAATTATTATTATATTAATAGTAATAAAAAAGCACATGGGAGACAATATTGACACTGGAGGAAGGCCAAGCCGGTGCCAGGCAATTCACTCGGACACCCTCATCGGGGGATTACTACTGTCGCTCCAGGAAAACATCTTTTCTTTTTCAGTCCGGCGGATGTGGAACATAAACACTCCAATGAGGTGTTTATTCTATCCATCTTCATCGCCACCATTCAAATCTGTGTCTCCTCATTCCCGTCACTGTCATCATAACTATTTTGACAAATTTATCAGTAAGGAAAAAAGGTGTCCCCTTGCATATTCGAATATTCCAATTTTGATTTGTTTTATATAATTTTGCAATGTACTGGGCAAGCTAAGAGATAATTAAGTATAATGAGGAAGGGTAAGAGTGTGTTTATGTTTGTGTTGGCAGAGGTGGGGGGGGAGAGGGAAAAATTATATTTGTTCAACAGTTTAGAGAGGCGCCAAACACAGCAGGTGGTTGGTTGCTGGAGGTTCCAGAATGTTAACATTTTGCTGGAACCACCACAGTGACCCTCCCTTGTGCGCTCTAACACACACCAAAATGTTCTTGCATTACTTATAATGAAATTATATAATATATAGTATATATGTATATATATATATATTTTCTTTCAACACACCGGCCGTATCCCACCGAGGCGGGGTGGCCCAAAAGGAAAAACGGAAGTTTCTCCTTTTACATTTAGTAATATATACAGGAGAAGGGGTTACTAGCCCCTTGCTCCCGGCATTTAGTAGCCTCTTACAACACGCATGGCTTACGGAGGAAGAATTCTGTTCCACTTCCCCATGGAGATAAGAGGAAATAAACAAAGGACAAGAACTAGTAAGAAAACCCAGAGGGGTGTGTATATATATGCTTGTACATGTATGTGTAGTGTGACCTAAGTGTAAGTAGAAGTAGCAAGACGTACCTGAAATCTTGCATGTTTATGAGACAGAAAAACGGACACCAGCAATCCTACCATCATGTAAACAATTATAGGTTTCCGTTTTACACTCACTTGGCAGGACGGTAGTACCTCCCTGGGCGGTTGCTGTCTACCAACCTACTACCTAGAATATATATATATATATATATATATATATATATATATATATATATATATATATTATAATATATAATATATAAATAATATATATATATATATATATATAAATATATATATATAATATATATATATATATATAATATATACATATACATATATACTATATATTATATAATTTCATTATAAGTAATGCAAGAACATTTTGGTGTGTGTTAGAGCGCACAAGGGAGGGTCACTGTGGTGGTTCCAGCAAAATGTTAACATTCTGGAACCTCCAGCAACCAACCACCTGCCGTGTTTGGCGCCTCTCTAAACTAAAATGTATGTTTGTTACCGTTTTGTCCTAGGTATATGTCGATTAGACACTAGGTCTGTTGTATATGCGTGCGTGGATGTGTGTGTGTATGTGTGTGTACTCATCTATTTGCGGTTGCAGGGGTCGAGTCTTAGCTCAGTAGAAATTTATCTCCAGAAATCGCTGTAATCGTCAGAATTACAGGCCCACCGCTGGCACCAATTTGTCGTGGGGGTTCGGAAGGAGATATGATGGTGAAGATAAACACACTGGTTGGATGGTAACGCTATGTATTG